TTCCAACCCTGGCTGTCAGAGCGCTACTCCTCCTCCTCTGTCCGAGGCTGGTGTGGGGTGAAAATCCTCCACCTCAGACGTTCAGAGATGTAACTATGTGCGATACTGTGGTCACTCTCCATGTAGCATCAATTATGCTAATGCTAGCTGCCTGTCGCGTTCTCTCGTCCTGGCCACACCTCCGCTCTCTAACCTCCTCCCCCTCCCCTACCCACACCCCCTCCCCTACCCACTTTGATGCATTTTTCAAATTTCACCTTGGGGCGGAGTTATCTTTTCACATTGGGGTAAGATGCACTTTAATAAAAAGTTCTGTAATCTATTAATCTATCAACACAATTTAAAATTTGAAGTGTAGCCTGAAGTCTGTAATTTTGACACAATTTGGAACAGATTTTTATGAAGTGCAAATCTTRCCCACTAACTTGGTCATGTGACTAGACATAAGGGCATCCAGGGACTTCAAGGGATTAATTGTCAAATTAATCATTATCGGCTAAATACCACAATTAATTGTGATTTATTGTTTTGCGCATATTGCCCAACCCCCTCAGCTTGTGCCCACCATTTCTACTGTGTACCACAAGGTTATGTGACCAGTGTCCACTTTAGCTGTCTCATGTTATGTTACTGATTGAAAATAATTTCCAACTTCCTTGCTCACAGTCTTTCCTTCTGTGTCCAACAGGTACACTGCTCATTGTTTAGCACTTGTCTCTCACATGACTGATAATCAGAAAAGCATCTTCCTGAAGAAAGTGCTGACAAATGATGAAATCCTGCTCCTAAAAACAAAGTAAGTGTTTAGAGTTATTTATACTTTATTTGATGATGATGATGATGATGCCTTTATTGTCATTGTACAGAGCACAATGAAATTACATTTAAGAACAGCCATTCAAGAAGACACACATGACAAACATGGGGGAACAGGTGATCAGGTCATGCAGCAACCAGCAGGGGTCACTCTACCTTTAAAAAGAAAAACAAAAAAACCACAGAAGGATAGAGGAGGAAAAAACAAAACATCATATTATATCAATGAAATATGATATACTGTGGTGTTTGTAGAAAAACTTCTACAAGCAAGAGCACATTTATTAGCCAGAGGAGTACCCAGAGAACCCAGCCTCCAAAAAAAAAAAKAAACAAAAAAACCCATAGTTCAGCCAAAGTTCAGAATACTGGTGTTGAATTGTTCGTTCTGTGCAGCTCCAGATTGACCTTCAGGAGATCAGATTAGACGGAGTGAGAGTGGGAGAGGTGGGGGGAGGAGCCTGAAGTCGACGTAAACACCAGGAGAAATTAGATCCATCGCTTTCACATGGGATGGGGGGGGGCACCACACAAATCTGTAATCAGTTGTTTGGGAACAGAAGAAATGTTTTTGGTCAGACAGACAACAATTTTCCATCTGCCTTAATTTCCACTGGTACATCTCAAGGTGGAGAATCCAGTCAGACAAATAATGTGGACAAACCTGTCGAGCCTCTCCAAGATCAATCCCATCTCACCAACAGCAAAGTCCAGGAACCACAGCCGGCCCGCGACCTTCAGCAGAACTGCTTGCAAACTGAGTCCAGCTCGCACAAGGCAAAAGTCTGAGTGCTGATAGAACGGCAATCCTTCATAATGGTCAGGCAGCCAAGAAATGAACAGCCACCGACGCTGTTTTGTCGAACACCAGGAGACCACCAAGCCACTCTGTAGAATCCAGTGATCAGAATCCAAATATAAATCCAGGTAGTTGGGCTGGGTGGTATGACCTCAAATTCATATCACGGTATGAATTTAATCCCTTCATGGTAACGGTATATATCGCAGTAGAAAACTATCAAAAAAAGTAAAGATAATGTAATTTTTATAGCATTAATGTTTTTGCAGAAAACTAGTCTTAATCTAACCCAGCATTTTTGCTTTAATATCTSCCTGCCAAACAATGAGCTTCTGCCTGTTGAACTTATCAGCTGCTGCTCTGCTGCGCTCTCATCTTCATTATCTTCGTCACCAGAGCAGAAGCCGACTTTACATTAGCAAGATGGATTTATGACTGAACGAACGTCCACGTCTTTTTTTAATAATCTCTGTAGTTAACAATACATAAAAAACAAATTTTTCTCCAACAACTTGCATGTGAAAAACTACGGTTGTTAAAGCTTCGCTCTGCATGACGTGCAGCAGGAGAGTCGGGTGGGGGCGGGGGTGATCCCGATGTAACTTCTCTACAGCYGGAGGGGGGAAATTTTGAGGATTTACTCTCTCTATACGTGTTTTAAAATGCTATAATTTCTTCATTATGTTTGGAACTCCTGCTCAGTTGTCTCTGCACTCGCAGCCCTGTTGACACTGGTGCGATGACGTAACTGACGACAGGACGGTAGAGGGTCAATTTCTACCGTAAGCCAACTTCATACCGTTTCTACCGTCTATCACATACACAGCACAGCCCTACAGGTAGTTGAACAGAGGTCCCACCTTTGACATGTCCTCCCATGGAAAAAAATTGTTTCCAAAAATGTATTAAGAGACCAGCTAACCAAATCCATAAAAATATCCATAATTTTCAGTTTTGGATGAAAACGTAGAGGATAGTGTTGTAGTACTTGAAACTGATCTTGGTCTTAAGACCAGTCTCAAGACCACTTTTTGATGGTCTTGATCTTGTCTCAGACTCGACAGCATTTGTACTCGGTCTTGTCTCGGTCTTGGACATTGAGGACTCGGAATTTTATTTCAAGACCACAACTGCAGAAATATCATTAAATAGCCAGATTATTGTCCAATTAATTTGTTAACAATCTTGCTTTCATTTTTTTTTYAATGTAGCTACTGATTCAAATTCAAACCTGACTCATTGCTATTTATGTATTTTTGTTACCGGCTGTCACCCATCCGCACCACCCATCACTCGCACACAGCACTCCCAGAAAGTGAACCATGACTCTCTGGGAATGGCAAAAGATGTCTTCAAAATCTTAAGTAAAAAAATTGGCTACATTATTCATAAATAATATTAACAACAACAACCAGGAGAAAGCGTACAGCAACTTGCAAATCTGTTAGTGCTTTACTTTCAGAGACAGTGGGTACAACTTTAAACTTTTACAGTCACTAACGTTAACATTCCGCCTCTATAGAAAAATTCTTTCCTCTGCCCTCACACAAAGATTTTGTCAATATTAGCTCTATATGTTGTTAGCTAAAGTGGGGAAAAAAGTATTTAGTCAGCACCTATTGTTCAAGTTCTCCCACTTAAAAAGATGAGAGGCCTGTGATTGACATCATTAGACCTCCTCAACTATGAGACAAAATACTATTTTCCCCACTGTACATGTGTACAGAATAATCCATCATTTAAGGGACTTTTTTTAATCTGGTCTTGGTCTTGTCTCGGTCTCGCCATCCCTTGGTCTTGGTCTCGACTTGGTCCAAACCCTAAAAGTCTTGGTCTTGTCTCAGTCTCGAGACACTGTGGTCTTGATCTTGACTTGGTCTCGGGTTAGGTGGTCTTGACTACAACACTAGTAGAGGAGGCTCCGAGCAGCAAAGCAAGGAAAGATGAGGGAGGGCAGGAGAGAGGGAAAATCGTCTTAATCCCCCGAGAGCAGAAAAAAAAATCTATTATCATACAGTATGATAATATTTCTATTTTCATATGATATTTTGAAGAAACAAGTTAATTATTTACATCAGTTTTTTTCCTCTAAAGGCGAGTCCATTTTCCTGCTGTGAAAAAGAAATTCTTAAAATCAAAATTTCTGCTCTTTTAAATCATGATGTGTGTTTTTCTGGTTGTTTAGGTTTTTGAAGGAAAATGAAGAGATGGAGGCAGAAAAAGCCCTGGTGTTAGTCAATCAGAGGGAAGAGATGTTGCGCCAGGACAGGAGTCATAAACCTACGAGAGGTCAAGTGTTTCCTGAGGACCTGTCCCCAAATGTTGTAGCAGTCTGTGGTGTTGTGCTTCCCAGAGCTGTGCCCGAAGAGCCTGAGCAGGTATTTATTCTCAGTCACATAAAATCCTGCCCTCTTTTATTTCTTTGTTCATAATTGATTTAAATTTCTAGGTGGACCTATCTGATCTGGTTCTGGTGGACTCAACATGCCATAATCTGAGGAGCCTGGCTTTGGCTGTGGCCTCTCAGAGTCCTGTGCTTCTAGAGGGTCCAATTGGATGTGGTAAAACTGCCCTGGTAGAGTATATGGCTGCAGTTACAGGGCACACAAAAGCTACGCAGTTTCTCAAAGTCCAGCTTGGAGATCAAACTGACAGCAAGGTGAGAAAAACCCATCCATGTCAAATAGGCTGTTAGATTTAACCTAATTCTTTCAGTTTGATCTATCCATTGCCCGCTCTAAAAGTAAAAATGAGGTTGTTCATGTTTTTGCATGTGTTTGTGCATATTTGTCTGTTGACATAATTAGTGTTAACATTAGCATGTTTTTTTTWTTACAGATGCTGTTAGGGATGTACCGCTGCACTGATATACCAGGGAAGTTTGTGTGGCAGCCAGGAACACTTACACAAGCTGTGACCAGAGGACAGTGGATCCTCTTAGAAGATATTGACCATGCACCTTTAGATGTGGTGAGTTTATTCTTTACCTACAAAATGCAGGGCTTAAAGTTCTCCGTCACTTTGAATGTGGGCAGGACGGATTTCCATCATTTGTGGGGGGGGAGGGGGACTCTTGTTCTGTTGCGGTGTTGTTAAAGCCGCCCAGTCATGTCACTACTTTCAACAAATGAAACAAACCCCAGCGCACTTTTATCCAATCAGAGCGGAGCAGAGGCGGGTCAGTAAAAGCAGCAGGTAGAGCAGTCAGCAGAGTCAGGAGCAGCGTAGTGTAGGAGGTGAGCTTAAAGTGTAACTTACCCCAATGTGAAAAGATAACTCCGCCCCAAGGCGAAATTTGAAAAATGCATCAAAGTGGGTAGGGGAGGGGGGTTAGAGAGCGGAGGTGTGGCCAGGACGAGAGAACGCGACAGGCAGCTAGCATTAGCATAACTGATGCTACATTGAGAGTGACCACAGTATCGCAGATAGTTACATCTCTAAACAGTCTGAAGTGGAGGATTTTTGACCCCCGTCCTCACCAGAGGCAGAGAGAGACTTGATCAAGTCAGCTCAGTCTGGGACTGACTCATGTTGGCTCCGCTGATCAGGACCTGGAGCTCCAGCAGCCTCAGCTGAGCTCCGTCCGCCTCACCAGCCTCGGACAGAGGTGGAGGAGCACTCTGTGACAGCCTGACAGAAAAAAATAAAAGCACACAGCTGCAGCTGCTCACATG